GTGAGATTGATTACCCGATGAGGGGTAGTATGGATGTGTTGTGGCTTGTGAATGTTTTAGAATTGGATTGATGTTGTTGTTTGATACGTGTATTTACGTATTATTTACCTACTACTATGTATTACTATCATTTTCATTTCATATACGACATGTATACTTACTGAGCGCGTGGTTTATTCCACACCTTTACAACTTCTCATTTTCAGGTACAAGAGAGAGAGACATAAATCAGTCCACTATCAAAAGGGTTGAGTTTTGTACAACGTTAGTATGATATTCTATTCGTTATGTATTTAATTTTAAATAAGTAAATGATACTGGTTGAGGGACTGTATAATTATTTGTTAGGTTGTATATTATGTTAAATAAGAGATTATTATAGCATGTTAATAGTATATATATTTGTAAACAGACTCAACAGGCATACTTTGTGATATATGCTATGTGGGTGTGGGATTTTGTATCTATCTATAACCTCGAAAACAAACAAATGGTACAGGTATCATATATGGTACAGGTTTATCATCATGCTTGTTAACTAAGGTGATGTGTGGTATTGTTACACCAGTGGAATTGATTAGTATTTTATTAATTTAAATTATATATATGTAAACAGGTGTATCAAAAATCTAGTCGCGTCTCATCCTTGGGAGACCGGGATGGGGCGTGACATAGTTTGATATAGTTCTTATTTTACCTAGATTTTCAATATATATATATATATTACAGTTTGTTATTATGTGTTGTTGTATTAACCTAGTTGTTACCTTTTAAATAGTGTAGCAGATCACCTTTTCTACATTTAAAGCCATGACTAAGGTATTTTGATTTATTTTTAACAAAGAAGTTGGTCTTATCTACTTGGACGTTGTTGTTTACTTTTGTTTTTTGTTTGGTGATTCCTGAGGTTGAATATTTTGAGTAAATGAATTTCTTAACATATTTGAGAATATGATGATGGCACTTACATTGGATGCGTATGTTTGTTCTTACTTGTATGCCACAATGACGATAGAGTTGTTATAACAATGTTATTGGATGCAAATTTTTTTTATGAATTAGATATACATGGACAACAGTACGGATGAATTATGTTTGTTACTTACACTTATGCATAGGGCTATTCGGGAGATGTTTGTTGTGTTTAATGTTGTGGTGTCTATAATGTTGATGATACGAGATATGAAAAACAATGGTATCACATCTGAGGTGCCACAACATTTCAAATGGAGTCGGTAACAGATTGAATACTTACACTGTCTCATTTGGGAGAGTGGCATAACGTGTATTAGCCAACTAAGGATGAATAGACACACGTTTGTGGTTGTGTGTAATCTGGTACGTGATGTGGGGCGCCTAAGTCTAACTAAGTACGTTAATGTGGAGAAGATGGTGATGATGTTCTTAAGTATTTTAGCACATAATGACAAAAATATGACAGCTAAGTTCAATTTTCTATGCTCGGGTGAAACTGTTAGTAATCATTTCAACAATGTGCTTACAACGGTTCTGAGACTGCGTAGGTTATTACTTTAGTCCCTTGAGCCTATACCGTGCGAACAGTACCCACAGTAAATGAAAATGGTTTCCGATAAGCACAAACTTTGAAACTAATTTATGTTCATGTGTGTTTTTGTCACGTTATATGCATATTATGTATAACTAACTTTTATTTATATTAGGAATTGGATGACACGTTGTTAATATGGCCTAATTTGCATTCCAGTGCATTTATGAACAAAAATATTATGATAACTTTGTGTAATTATATATGAACAAGAATGAACGTTGGTGCGTAGTATTCGTTGGATGACAGGTTGGTATTTACGAGTCATGGGTGGAATGTCATGCGTATGTCAACAAGTATCTAGGTGCACTATACAAATCTTATGATTCGTATGTTAAGGAGGAAACTGCATTGGCATTGAACACTGCACGACATGAAGTTGGTGTACCAAATGCGATAACTTTCCACCTGTCTGCACTAATGGAGAATGTAATTGAGGATGGTGTTAGGAATAACGACAAAGCATCTGTTCATCCAATTGGAACAAATGCATACAACCGTGATCTCATTTGGTGCATGATAAGTGTAGTCATGCTCATTGTGGGTATTGTGCTCACCTATATTGTGTACTCTGCAATGGGGCGTGGTTTAGTTTAAGTTGTTACCATAACAACAAACAATTTGTGTGAATGGTTAGACCATATGTAATGACTTGTGTACATGTACTATGCAAACATTATTATGTTATGCATTTTGGTGAAAAAGGATAGTAATAAGTTAATATTGTCCGTACGTATAACTGATATATGTTCGTAATGTTGAATGCGTATAAAATGTATGCATGTGATTCGTTTTATGATACGAATACGCATAACTTATGTACGTTTGATCCTTCCTAATATGTAAATTATATGTTTTTGTAGTTGTAAAGGAAGATCCCCTTGATTACAGATGATGAATCGGACGTCATAATTAACACTTTAATAAAGGTTAAGAATAAAGACAAATTACCACCGTTGGACTGTTACACACACAAAATGGTGGATGGTTTGTTGCACGTAGTTAAACGACGCTAGCGAGGATTTACATTGTCCTTTACTAACCTAATGCACATCATTTTCTTCTAGGAGAGGCAATTCTTCAGTATTTACACAATGCTTGACTTGANAAAAATTATGGGCTGTTAAGAAGGGGTATTAAATGAGTACTCAACCGAGTGTACGAAAAATATAGAAATAATCATTTGAGAAATTCGGAAAACATTTAGTGGGAAAGGTTGGATACAAAAATTTTGGGAATGAAATGAGTGGTTTAAAGGCTCNTATATGCAAAGAATTACACAACCATCTTCTCTTTATGTATTGTCTATGTCTATGTAGTAAAGTTATGTGTGAGTATCTTATGAATGATTTCTGCTATGGAATCTCCTATATCTTCTCCCTCTATGTCGTTGTGTGACTGTGTCTATATGGGTCTGTGTGATTCTCTGTGTGTGTATCTGTAGGTGTTATTACATTCATCTTCTCCGCGTGTGATTGTGTCTGTGTGATTTTCTCTATGTGTGTATATGTTAATGTGTGTGTGTGTATATATGATTTATGTTATGTAAGCTCCTACCTCTTCTCCCTTTATGTCGCATGCCTCTATGTCTGTGTNTTGTAAATTTCAAATGCAAATGAATATAATATCCGGTGCGGAATGTACGAAATGCAAAAAGTATAATTTTTTGGGATTTGGGGTCGAAATGTGTGGAAATGGGGCCCAGTCAATGTGTTTGACCTACTAAATCTTAATTATGANGGTGTGTGTGTGTGTGTCGAGTTGGAAGTTATGTTATTTTAGTCATCTTATACCTTTGTAATGTGTCTGTCCACGTGTGTTTATGTCTGTGTGGAATAAACGTTTCAGTTGTGCCATCTTCTACCACTTTTTTCCCTCTATGTCGATGTGTGTCTGATTGGGTCTGTCACTGTGTTTGTGGGTGAATGTTCTCNGAAAAAAAAAATATGATCCCTAAATCTAATGTGCCAATATGTGAGTGAACAGTGCGATAATCAGGGTTACCGAGGCACTTTGGGTTGAATTATCTTGCATGCATTAGTGCATGATTAATTATTCAATGTGATAAACATATTAATATTAATATTGATGTGTTAGGTGGAACAGGTAGGACAGTTGGTATAGAGACGGCTACGAAAACATCGGAAGTATCCAATGATAGAACCGAAGAAAATTATATCGAAATATTTGAGATGAGTGTATATCTTTATATGTTTTAAAAATGCTATNATTAATTATTAGATAGAATATTGGGTATAGAAATAATATTGGGTTGATTTTGGAATCATTTAAGAATTTGGAGGGAGGCAAGTAGAATTATAAAAATTGCATGGAAATATATTTACACATGTGTCAAACAAAAGGTGGTGGGTTATTTTAAAAGTTATGTATGTGGATGTGTGTATGTCAAGTGTTTGTGTGTCTTAAGGTGTAGTAAAGTGTGTGTGTGTGTGTGTAATGCATGAAACAATGTGTGTGTATACTTTAATATGTAGTAAAGTGAATGTATTTAAAAGACAAACAAGTGTGTGTGTGTGTGTGTGTGTGTTCTGGCTATATGAAACCGTGAGTGAGGGAGAGTAAAAGAGAGGAAGAAGAAAAGCAAAAAAAAAAAAAAAGAAAGAAAGAAAGAAGNTGATTGATGTTGTTGTTTGATACGTGTATTTACGTATTATTTACCTACTACTATATATTACTATCATTTTCATTTCATATACGACATGTATACTCACTGAGCGCGTGGTTTATTCCACACTTTTACAACTTCTCATTTTCAGGTACAAAAGAGAGAGATATAGATCAGTCCACTATCAAAAGGGTTGAGTTTTGTACAACGTTAGTATAATATTCTATTCGTTATGTATTTAATTTTAAATAAGTAAATGATACTGGTTGAGGGACTGTATAATTATTTGTTAGGTTGTATATTATGTTAAATGAGAGATTATTATAGCATGTTAATAGTATATATATTTGTAAACAGACTCAACAGGCATACTTTGTNGAGAGATTATTATAACATGTTAATAGTATATATATTTGTAAACAGACTCAACAGGCATACTTTGTGATATATGTTATGTGGGTGTGAGATTTTGTATCTATCTATAACCTCGAAAACAAACAAATGGTACAGGTTTATCATCATGCTTGTTAACTAAGGTGATGAGTGGTAATGTTACACCAGTGGAATTGATTAGTATTTTATTAATTTAAATTATATATATGTAAACAGGTGTATCAAAAATCTAGTCGCGTCTTATCCTTGGGAGACCGGAATGGGGCGTGACATAGTTTGATATAGTTCTTATTTTACCTGGATTTTCAATATATATATATATATATATTACAGTTTGTTATTATGTGTTGTTGTATTAACCTAGTTGTTACCTTTTAAATAGTGTAGCAGATCACCTTTTCTACATTTAAAGCCATGACTAAGGTATTTTGATTTATTTTTAACAAAGAAGTTGGTCTTATCTACTTGGACGTTGTTGTTTACTTTTGTTTTTTGTTTGGTGATTCCTGAGGTTGAATATTTTGAGTAAATGAATTTCTTAACATATTTGAGAATATGATGATGGCACTTACATTGGATGCGTACGTTTGTTTTTACTTGTATTCCACAATGACGATAGAGTTGTTATAACAATGTTATCGAATGCAATTTTTTTTTATGAATTAGATATACATGGACAACAGTACGGATGAATTATGTTTGTTACTTACACTTATGCATAGGGCTATTCGGGAGATGTTTGTTGTGTTTAATGTTGTGGTGTCTATAATGTTGATGATACGAGATATGAAAAACAATGGTATCACATCTGAGGTGCCACAACATTTCAAATGGAGTCGGTAACAGATTGAATACTTACACTGTCTCATTTGGGAGAGTGGCATAACGTGTATTAGCCAACTAAGGATGAATAGACACACGTTTGTGGTTGTGTGTAATCTGGTACGTGATGTGGGGCGCCTAAGTCTAACTAAGTACGTTAATGTGGAGGAGATAGTGATGATGTTCTTAAGTATTTTAGCACATAATGACAAAAATATGACAGTTAAGTTCAATTTTCTATGCTCGGGTGAAACTGTTAGTCATCATTTCAACAATGTGCTTACAACGGTTCTGAGACTACGTAGGTTATTACTTTAGTCCCCTGAGCCTATACCGTGCGAACAGTACCCACAGTAAATGAAAATGGTTTCCGATAAGCACAAACTTTGAAACTAATTTATGTTCATGTGTGTTTTTGTCACGTTATATGCATATTATGTATAACTAACTTTTATTTATATTAGGAATTGGATGACACGTTGTTAATATGGCCTAATTTGCATTTCAGTGCATTTATGAACAAAAATATTATGATAACTTTGTGTAATTATATATGAACAAGAATGAACGTTGGTGCGTAGTATTCGTTGGATGACAGGTTGGTATTTACGAGTCATGGGTGGAATGTCATGCGTATGTCAACAAGTATCTAGGTGCACTATACAAATCTTATGATTCGTATGTTAAGGAGGAAACTGCATTGGCATTGAACACTGCACGACATGAAGTTGGTGTACCAAATGCGATAGCTTTCCACCTGTCTGCACTAATGGAGAATGTAATTGAGGATGGTGTTAGGAATAACGACAAAGCATCTGTTCATCCAGTTGGAACAAATGCATACAACCGTGATCTCATTTGGTGCATGATAAGTGTAGTCATGCTCATTGTGGGTATTGTGCTCACCTATATTGTGTACTCTGCAATGGGGCGTGGTTTAGTTTAAGTTGTTACCATAACAACAAACAATTTGTGTGAATGGTTAGACCATATGTAATGACTTGTGTACATGTACTATGCAAACATTATTATGTTATGCATTTTGGTGAAAAAGGATAGTAATAAGTTAATATTGTCCGTACGTATAACTGATATATGTTCGTAATGTTGAATGCGTATAAAATGTATGCATGTGATTCGTTTTATGATACGAATACGCATAACTTATGTACGTTTGATCCTTCCTAATATGTAAATTATATGTTTTTGTAGTTGTAAATGAAGATCCCCTTGATTATAGATGATGAATCGGACGTCATAATTAACACTTTAATAGAGGTTAAGAATAAAGACAAATTACCACCGTTGGACTGTTACACACACAAAATGGTGGATGGTTTGTTGCGCGTAGTTAAACGACGCTCGCGAGGATTTACATTGTCCTTTACTAACCTAATGCACATCATTTTCTTCTAGGAGAGGCAATTCTTCAGTATTTACACAATGCTTGACTTGACAGTTTTTCATAAGACCTGTTAAAGAAGTGTGCCGTCAAAGAACTCGAAAGTGGAGCAAATGAGTATTTGGAAGTAAGTTACTTCATTGTTTGTACTTTCCGTACATTTTTTTCAATTCATGAAAAAATATATATTTTTTTGGTGTCCATTAACACATAGTTGCATGTTATTAATTGTAAGAAGATGTTTTTGCTGTACACTACTGTCTCGCACTATGCCCAAATTTTCAATATTTCGGTATTATTTTCAAGAAAGATGAAGCGAGTTCAAGCCATCATGCAAGTGATAGTGTTGAGACTTCACCATCGATTAACCCTGTCAATGAAGTTGATGTTTATTGTGATTGATGATTGACTATTTCTATCGATCGCTTTATCCTCATTTTGTTTGTAACTTAGAATATTTGTATGTATTTTGTATTAAAAATAAATGTGCTTAGAATACTTGTATGCATTAAAAATATATGTGTATCTAGGTAGGTAATTATGTTGAGCCATTTTGGTTTTTATGCACACATAATAGCGTGTGTGCATGTAACTTCACTGTTCTTACTTAATATTATTGCCTTCGTTTTGTATGTATATTGAAGGTAACAAGGAATATAAACATTTCGATTGCGTGTATTTACTGAATACGTTCCCTTACTTTTGCTCACTTTTTTTGTATAAGACTACATGTGATAATGAAATATGTTTAGGTGAATATCAAATTATGTATATCGTTATTCTTATTTTTTTTTCAAAATTATGTGGGACAATGTTATGAGCAAATTAATGTTGTCACATTGGTGAACTGTTGGAAAAATTCAAACCAAATTATGTTCGGTATTTTCACTTAGTGACACAACTGAAAATTGGAATGAAATATAAAGGTGAATAACATAAATATAATTGCAAAGCCAACATTGACTTTGGATTGGATAGGAAGTGAAGGTTAAAATTGTAATTTAATGTGTAAGTAAAGAGATTTGACTCAAAAAGTAAGGTTTATCTTGGTCCTCATAATACACCAAATTACTTTTCAAATAAAGTACAGGATTACATAACTTCATTTGTATCTTATCTATGTCCAGGGTATTGGATTTTCATTGAATAGGTTTAGATTAAAAAGCCAAACCAATCCTATCCCCAAAGCNGGCCTCTACCTTTTGGTTTACTCCTCCAGCAGGCAGTTGAGGGGAATTTAACAACACATGTTCCTTTTCCACCTTCAAGTCCATTGTCAAGTGCCCGTGATATATTCCGTCCTAAAAGAGACATTGGATACAGTCCTCAGCATAGTTATTCTTCACTGTCTGCATTTGATTATAATATTAAGGGAGATGCGGCTTCTATGCCCTCACATCTTATTTTGAAGGATCCTTTGGAGGAACCTCAGGTATGCATGTTCCTTCCCTTTGAGTAGCTCAGATTCTTCTGAGCGTTGTGTTTGTCTTTATGGTCTTTTTGAATGTTTATCCTNCGGCTTCTATGCCCTCACATCTTATTTTGAAGGATCCTTTGGAGGAACCTCAGGTATGCATGTTCCTTCCCTTTGAGTGGCTCAGATTCTTCTGAGCGTTGTGTTTGTCTTTATGGTCTTTTTGAATGTTTATCCTCTCATGATACTATTGTATACTTTTTTTCTTGTTTCGAAGCTCACATGGCTGCTGGCTCTATGATTTTCTCAGTTAATTTATATTGAGGAAAGGGGAAAGGCAAGCATAATGAGGGAATTTGATGAAAAAACGATTTGGACCAGTGATTGTATTCCTCTGATGGCATCATTTAATAAAGGTTTCTTCTATTTATTTCCTGTTAGTTGCTGTCCACCCTTCTGGACCTGGGGAATTTTCATATACATGACAAAATTTGTCTGCAGGGAAGATGCAACACTCTCTGTGGGTTGCAGAAGTTGTTGATTGTAACCTTGAAGTTGCAAATTCTAAATTATCTGATGTAGTTCCTCCGGGGGTGTTACCGAAACAGTGTTCCTTTCGAAGGATATGGCAAGGGAAGGGTGCCCAAACAGCTGCTAGTAAGGTGCCAGACTTATTTTTCTTTCATTTGGTGCATTTTGGATGTACTTTGGGTCCAGAACGTTGAGATCTCCATTTCGGAAACCTTTTTCACCTTACTGTTCATGTTTTATCTTTTGTGTTGGTGCAATCTTTGAAGTAATATGCATAAACTATGATGCGATTTAATATAGCTTGATGCAACTAATGCCTCTGTGGCAAATTTACAATGGAATACGTTTCAATTCAATAACAACCACATGAACATCGGTTTAATAGTAAAATCTAGGATTTGGCTGGGGTTGAGGTTGCCATGTTCAGGATATGTCCTTGGCCATCCTTTGCCTACCATGTTGCATGCTTACTGTTGTGTTCCTTTCCATTTTCAGCACTTGACATTTACTCGATTTTATGATACTTGTCCTACTTCTGAGAATCTATCAGTATGGTGTTTGGTCTAGTTATTCATTTGCCTTTGCTTAACTTTTAGCCCTCCAATGATTTTAGCAGGTTTTCCTGGCAACTGATGATGATACTGCACCTATTATTTGTTTTCTTCTCCAAGAACGAAAAAAGTTGTTGTCAGTGAGGCTTCAAAGTGTAGAAATAAATAATGAGATTCTCTATGATATCAAACCCGACATGAGCTGGAGTGTACCAGCAGTTGTGGCAGCACCTGTTATTGTAACTCGTCCGAGGTAGAGTTACGTTTGCTTCTTTGTTCTTGTGTTCAGTCATTATTAAATTTTTGGACATGACTCTATTTTTTTTATTCAGAGTGAAAGTGGGACTGCTGCCGTGTGTAGACATCATGGCTTTGACTTCAGAAAATTCCCTTCTTCTTTATGTAAGTTGTTTGGAGTACTAGCTCAACATCAGTCAGCTGCCTCTGCATATGACTGTTGAACGCCTCATTCAGCCTATGATGTTTTTTGTCCAGATAGGATCTTCATGTTTTTAATATTGCATATATTAGTCCTTTCAAGCCACCATTCTTGCCTGTTTGATTTGGGTATTAGGGGTTGAAATTCGATTAAATTTACTATCATATTTGGGTCATGTTACAGGGTCCTGTCTTATGACATGAGGTAATTCCGACCCGATCTACAATGTTAAATAACACAACATACATGGTAACAACCAATCTCAGGTCATAGATGGTGTAAATGATTGGTATTAGCATAAAAATGACAAGATTACTTAGTTTTGGATAGGATTGGTGCCCGGTACTTTGCTTTTTTCAACTTAATGCCATACAATAATAAGCAATCGAAAAATAGGAAAAAAAAGCGGTTTAAATGAGATGGGATAAAAATAATAAACTGACTATTGCTGTTGGGATGGATTGGATTGAAATCAATTGTCAATCACAATCCATGTTNTGCCCGGTACTTTGCTTTTTTCAACTTAATGCCATACAATAATAAGCAATCAAAAAATAGGACAAAAATGCGGTTTAAATGAGATGGGATAAAAATAATAAACTGACTATTGCTGTTGGGATGGATTGGATTGAAATCAATTGTCAATCACAATCCATGTTATACACGAACCAAACACCCCTTGAGTGTTGATATTTGAATTGGTTAGACATGATGTATCTTCGATTAAAATAACATTTCAAACATATATTTTGCTGCCTGATCACATTTCTTCATTTTGCTTAAATGTTAAAAACCTTATCATCATCCTTGTCATAATTATTTTTTTTTCCGGTGGGGGTGGGGGGCTGAGATTTCTGCGATTATNTTGATATTTGAATTGGTTAGACATGATGTATCTTCGATTAAAATAACATTTCGAACATATATTTTGCTGCCGGATCACATTTCTTCATTTTGCTTAAATGTTAAAAACCTTATCATCATCCTTGTCATAATTATTTTTTTTTCCGGTGGGGGGTGGGGGGCTGAGATTTCTGCGATTATGAATTGACTGTTTCCATAGTTTACTAGGTATGGATAAGACCCAAAGTGGCCCTTATTTCTTTGTTTGGTGGATCCTGGTATTGCTATATCTTAGGATTTTTCCATTATGTCATACTTCAGGTGTGGGCTGAGAGCTTTTACTTCTTAACAAGAAAGTCTTCTTGTCAGGAATGAGTATCAAGAAGTTACACTGGGGAGACCTCTACTCAAAAGGTGTTCAAGAGAGTATAAACCAAACAATCATGAAACACAATCAAGTTAAATCAGATGTCTGATCCCTTAGTAACATTCCAGAATCTCCTTTTGTGTAGAAAATCTACTTGCTCATCGGTAGGAACCTAATTGAACCCATCCATCCTGTTTCTGGCAATGTTAGTAATTCTAAACATTTAGTAAACAAGTCTGTAGTCACATGGCTCTGATTTCCTTCACTTGGGTCAAATGTCTAAATCTGCCCCTGTCAATTATAAAAGAAAATCATATGATTTGAATCTAATTCTTCAAGAGACAGCCAAAAACTTTGTTTTAAATGAGTAATGATGGTCATAAAGTTCTGAGAGAATGGGCCTCGAAATGCCCAATAATGACATTAATCCATCAACACATGGATAATTTTTAAGATAATTTTTTAGTTGTACTTCTCAAGAGCCCAGTGTTTCTTATCATATAAAACTTGGAGAGTCCCATAATTCATTTGTTGTGGCAGAAATCAAGGAGTATATGCTGATTCCAAGTTTTAATAATGCATAATTTATTATTTATGTCTTTCTATTGCTTACATAGACTGTGGTACACTTATATACAACAAAAGAAATATAATCAATAGGGTTTTCATGCACAACTGTATGGTAAATCTGAATTGCTGTAGATGCTTGCTGGCTGCATATCCGATGGGAAATGTTGGATGCATATTTTATACCCACACACAGGTAAAATGTCCAACATGGGTACACGATACAATTAGAAGAGACCGTCTAATTTACCCTTACTACTTCCACATGTTGGAGCTAAAACCAGGCTGTTGCACGAGTCTGATTGAGCATCCAACCCAAATCAACTGGCAACGGGCAGACAGGTCCATGAGCCATATAAATCAACATTGGGGTGGTTTTAACCTTTGGTGTTTTTTTTTTTTTTTNATCATAAAAGTATTTTTCTATGCTCATTCATTTAAAAAAAATGCATATTAATGGTCTTCTGAACAGGTGAAGTGGTATCAATTCCTCTTCCCCATACCGTCACATCAATATGGCCTCTACCTTTTGGTTTACTCCTCCAGCAGGCAGTTGAGGGGAATTTAACAACACATGTTCCTTTTCCACCTTCAAGTCCATTGTCAAGTGCCCGTGATATATTCCGTCCTAAAAGAGACATTGGATACAGTCCTCAGCATAGTTATTCTTCACTGTCTGCATTTGATTATAATATTAAGGGAGATGCNCCTTTTGATGTTAGATACAAGCTTTCTTCACATCTTCTTTTGTGTGTTACTCTGGGCTTGCACTCATGCTAATAAATTGCACCTTTAAATGGCTGAGAGGCTAGACCTTCTGACCACCCAAGGTGCACCTTTATTTTACCAGCATCCTACCCAACACCAATTGACAATGAGGGAATGTGGTAGGTGTCTTTCTGCGAGCAATTATAGATTACCATTTCTATTGGTAGTCAAAATTACAGTCATTGCATATAGTAGAAAAAGTAACTTTTACACCTAAAACTGCTAATTGTTCATTCTCAGGGTACGAGATAGAGAAAAGGTTCTTTTGTGGACAAGTCTCCTCATGTTGGAATTTCTGTTCTGCTTATGAATCAGTTTTTAAATTTTGATCTCTAACAGTTAATTTTAAGAATATGATGTAATTTTAAATATCTGTGTCCAAAAAGAATATTTAAATATTATTTTCTGCAACTTTCTTTCTTCCCTATAGCCTTTGTACTATTATGAGGAAGTTTTATTTGCCTTTTGCCCAATACTGTGTTGATAAGATCTATATGATCCATATTTGAGCCTTTTCTAACTGCAGTCTGGCAAGCAATGCCTGTGTAGATATACATTGCCTTCTGTTTTGGGGAAAGGTCAGGCTTTGCGTACTTTGAAGTCTTCAGAAATAGCTTCTGCTCTCCTTGATGTAAAAATTGTTGGATTGGCTGATGCTGTTGAAGGCCGTGTTAATGTTATTTTGACTAATGGGCAGGTATGCTAATAAAGTTTGTTGCCTATTCTTTTGGTTATTTTAAGGGGGAGATTTGGAAATTTATTGTTGTAATGAAATTTACCCATCTATAGAAATCTTTTTATAATCATTCCCAATATAGGATTAACTGGGGAGGGACCATTGTCTCGTCTATCTCCCGCTATTTCAACCTTAGAAATACCACTGATATGGCGACTTGTAGATTTTTTTCCTAATTTCTTAAGCAGGATTAAAATTGCTGTTTAGCTGCACTTCTATCATATGCTTGCCTAGAGGCATTGTAGGTGTTTATGGATAATGGATCCAAAAACAACACAAAGATTTTCTCCAAAAATATTATAATTTAATACAGCCACAGAATCATTTCAGAGGCACACCTAATGCCAGGCATGGCATTACACTCTGTTACTCGCTGTAAAACTTCACGATGGGTTCCAGATGTCAATTTCCTTTTTGCACTTTTTATTATGTCCTGCTGGATTTTAGTCTTTTTGAATACTTAAGTTAAAATTTTCCTCTACACCTCGTCTCTACTTGCCAAATCATCAGAATTTTGAAGCACTAGTCAAAATTTTTTTAATTGATTCTTGCATGGGTTTTTGATTTATTAAAGAAGAGTAGTTTAGAGATGTGTAAAAGTTTTATTTACTTCAACAATGTTAATCATACCGTCTCTTTATCCATTTTCTTTGTTATGTTTCTCTTCTTAGTAATTGGGTGTAAGATGTACTCTGATTTGGAGTAGAGGTATAGCTGTTAAGGCGTAGCAATTGTTGTATTGTGCATGTGCTGAGAAATAAAGTGGTGAGAAATTTAATGAGACTTTTCATGGCAGATTATGTTTCAATAATTGACTACCCTACGGTGTTTTGCTAAAATTACTTCTTAAGTGACATATTGTTCCACCATGTGGCTTACTTTTAATTGGTTATTAAGAAGTACACGAAATTCATTGATCTCATAAATTTATGAAAATGATTGTTATATTACTATTTTTCCTCTGGTGCTGGATATGAAGTTGTTAGATTTACAAATTTAAGCACGCAGGTTGTTTCCCATATGCCTTTTTTGTGTTCCATAAAAGTGGAGGTCATAAACACCATATTTTTCTGCTTTGGATTCTGTTTTGATGAATGCTAATAAAATCAAGAGGGTGTGCTTATATGTTTGATTTAATCTTAATCGTTTTCCAAATTATGAAAATTCATTTTCAGAAGAAAGTTGTAAAATGTTCTCTTAGTTACATTGTAATCCTATTGCACTTATCATCATCATCTTTACTTTAGAAAGTTGTAAAATGATTGCTAAGTTATGTTGTGATCTATCACATTTATCATCATTGTCATTGCTATCATAATCATAAATCAAAAGACTGTCAAGATAAATGTGATGTTTGTTGCTTTATGTCCATTTGAAGATTTTAGAAGACGAAAGTATGAATATTCTTTCCACATAACCAATTCAACGTTGTGAATTGTTCTAAGATGTTTGAAATTTGTATTGCAGAAGTAGAATTTTCTTCAGATTACACCTTCAATGACTCGAATTTATAGTTTTTTTTTGTGGGGGGGGGTTAATCTGTTGGGCAGACTGATAGGAACATAAAATCTAACTGCATTTGTTTACAGGTTTTAGACTTGATAATTGTATGCTTTCAATTTTAATTGCTTTGTTAGCTAAGTAAATGAGACTTCAGTGTACCAGCAAAAAAAAAAGAGTGAGACCTTAGTGATGTTGCTGTGTTTTGTTTTATTTTTGATCCAGATCTACAGATGTACATTGCGAAGAAGACCATCATCATCATTGGCAAATGATTGCATCACTACAATGGCTGAGGGGCTCACTTCTAGTTTCTTCAATCATTTTCTTGTGCTTCTGTGGGGTGATGGTGATTCGGCGTATTTAGCCCAGGCAGATTCTGGTGTTGACTCGGAGTGGGAGTCTTTTTGTAGTATTATAATGCAAATGTGCAGAAAGTCTAGACATGTCCCTCGAAGGAGTTCAAATTCAGTTTCTCACTCATCATGGGAGTTTCTTATCAACAGTAGTTTTCACAAGAACTACTGTAAACAAAAATTTATTCCTGAAATTTCTCCTAGAATGTCACTTGATCTGCAGGGGTCAGATTCATCTGGATCTTTTCTACATGGTATCCAAAGCCCAACAGAGCTATTTATGGAGACTCTGGATTCTTTGCATGGATTATATGAAAGCCTGAAATTAGACAATCTTCGCAAACGGTGAACTCTGATAACTTACAATATTTTCGTTCCTTCTATCGTTTCAGTTGAGAACTTAATTCGTGTGCTTTTTCCTTAGTAGCTGGTCAATATGTTTCTGCATTTTTTCCATATTGCTAGAAAATGTGTTAGTAGGGGTCATATGTTGACTCTCTCTTTACTGCTCCCTTTATTCTAGGGCAAAAATGTGTCAATATTATGGACCATATGGTACTTTGATATCTATCTCTCAAGTTTCCAGATTCTTTTGCTTTTTAGAATAGAATCATAACANTATCACATTTATCATCATTGTCATTGCTATCATAATCATAAATCAAAAGACTGTCAAGATAAATGTGATGTTTGTTGCTTTATGTCCATTTGAAGATTTTAGAAGACGAAAGTATGAATATTCTTTCCACATAACCAATTCAACGTTGTGAATTGTTCTAAGATGTTTGAAATTTGTATTGCAGAAGTAGAATTTTCTTCAGATTACACCTTCAATGACTCGAATTTATAGTTTTTTTTTGTGGGGGGGGGTTAATCTGTTGGGCAGACTGATAGGAACATAAAATCTAACTGCATTTGTTTACAGGTTTTAGACTTGATAATTGTATGCTTTCAATTTTAATTGCTTTGTTAGCTAAGTAAATGAGACTTCAGTGTACCAGCAAAAAAAAAAGAGTGAGACCTTAGTGATGTTGCTGTGTTTTGTTTTATTTTTGATCCAGATCTACAGATGTACATTGCGAAGAAGACCATCATCATCATTGGCAAATGATTGCATCACTACAATGGCTGAGGGGCTCACTTCTAGTTTCTTCAATCATTTTCTTGTGCTTCTGTGGGGTGATGGTGATTCGGCGTATTTAGCCCAGGCAGATTCTGGTGTTGACTCGGAGTGGGAGTCTTTTTGTAGTATTATAATGCAAATGTGCAGAAAGTCTAGACATGTCCCTCGAAGGAGTTCAAATTCAGTTTCTCACTCATCATGGGAGTTTCTTATCAACAGTAGTTTTCACAAGAACTACTGTAAACAAAAATTTATTCCTGAAATTTCTCCTAGAACGTCACTTGATCTGCAGGGGTCAGATTCATCTGGATCTTTTCTACATGGTATCCAAAGCCCAACAGAGCTATTTATGGAGACTCTGGATTCTTTGCATGGATTATATGAAAGCCTGAAATTAGACAATCTTCGCAAACGGTGAACTCTGATAACTTACAATATTTTCGTTCCTTCTATCGTTTCAGTTGAGAACTTAATTCGTGTGCTTTTTCCTTAGTAGCTGGTCAATATGTTTCTGCATTTTTTCCATATTGCTAGAAAATGTGTTAGTAGGGGTCATATGTTGACTCTCTCTTTACTGCTCCCTTTATTCTAGGGCAAAAATGTGTCAATATTATGGACCATATGGTACTTTGATATCTATCTCTCAAGTTTCCAGATTCTTTTGCTTTTTAGAATAGAATCATAACAATTGGGTCTATAGAATATGGTAGTAATATACTCCTCTTACCTGTGAAAGCAGTCATGTATAAAGTCCTTGAAAGTCTCTATTTTTTGCAAAGAATGGAGTTTGAAACTTTATTGGATTCAGTTCTTGGGATAAACTTTCTTGCAAAAAATGTGCTCCCAATGTCCTTTGGATATTGGGAGCACATTTTATGGTTTCACCCCATCGTAATGACTATACTTTCTTTTTAACTGGGGATGTTCCAATTAGTTTGATCCATTACATGGTAGAGTGCGTTCACTTTGTGGTGGGGGTCTAGCTTGATGTATCTGTTGACTGAGCAGCATTTGATGAATGATGGAAAGTTTTCTATTAATGTGAATAGTTTTTAGTGCTTGTGCATTCTTGCTTGATGTCGTGGGAGTGATATGTCTGATTTGTTTTAACTTTTGTAGTGCATTGTTGCAGAATTGTTTCCCCTCGTGATGTTGATTGTGCTGTGAACTGAATATTTGAACGTGTCATTTCAGGGATTTGGGTCTTCTGGTGGTTCTACTATGCAATGTTGCTGATTTCCTGGGTGAAGAAAGCTATTTGGATCACTATGTACGTGACTTTCCTGGTCTTTCAAAAAACTTTGGGATATGTCGGACCTCATTTTCCCAGAAAACTCCTCCTAGTTTATTCAGATGGCTTGAACACTGTTTGCAACATGGATGTAATTCTGCTAATATTATGGACCTTTCCCCTCTGATTCGTAAAGATGGAAGTTCTGCTGGGAGCTGGGCCCGGAAGATAGTTGCTTTCTATAGCCTTTTATGTGGTGCAGAACAGTCAGGGAAGAAACTCTCGTCTGGTGTTTACTGCAACATTGCCTCCGGGTCATCGTGTACGAAAGAGGAGCTAACAGTCTTGGCAATGGTTGGGGAGAGATTTGGTTTGCAACAGCTAGACTTGCTACCTGCTGGTGTCTCTCTTCCTCTACGACATGTATGCTGATAGCTAAATTTTTTGTGATATTAAGATGCTAGTTTGTTAAGTCTTGAAACTTGAAAGTGACGCTTTACATTTATGGAAGTATAGCGTGCTTGTGGTAACAATCTACCAAATTATGTGTTGTAATCAGTGGCTATCTAGTCTGTCTTGCACCAAAACTATTTTGACCAAAAGATATTATTGTTATGCTTTTTTACTTTTATAGAGAGAATGTGGGTGTCAGTTACTTCTTTGTTATGCTGTGCTAGTATATGGAGCTATCCTTGGTCTGTTCCTTAGGCATGTTGGATTCCATTATATATTGGCATAACTAATTCAGCAAATTGCTGCTGTTTTTGCACTTCTTAGGCATTGGACAAGTGCCGGGAGTCTCCTCCTACTGACTGGCCTGCTGCTGCATATATTCTTCTTGGTCGGCAAGATTTGGCTTTGTCTTGTTCGTCACATTCAAGACAATCTAAGGAACTTGAACCCCATACCAAATTGAATTTAGTTTCTATGTCTACACCTTACATGCAACATCTGCATCCTGTGACTATTCCTTCCTCAGTTTCTGATACAATTGGATTGGAGAATACCAAACTTGAGGACACAGATTCCGTTGATGGAATTTCTACAGATGGTATGGAACATATTTTCAATTCTAGCACACAGTTGCGGTATGGTCGTGATCTGCGATTAAATGAGGTTAGTTATGGTCCGTTATGTGTAGTCAATAATTTTATGAAGGGCGTGAGTAAGTCTTAAAAAAACATGTTAAAAGACTATTCTTTGCAGGCAAAGGTTCTCGTTGTCTTGGCGGTTATGATTGACATGGTGAATGTCTAAAACTAGCTGAATAGAGATTGCATTCACGTGTGCACGTTATTACCTACTTGATGCACATGCATCTTAGTTAAAGAGATGTCTCACTTACATATCCACTTTTGCAAACTTAAATATATTGTCTTTAGGGTGTGTTTGGATTATGTATTAGGATTGACCGGACTGAAAAGTAAAATTCATGTCTCCTCATCCCTTATTCGGTTTAGTTATTGAAAAGTAGTGGGTCCATACTTATCTCATACAACACTTTGTTGGGATGGGGGTATTGAAAGATGGTATAATCATTACAGTTACCAAAGAACCCCCAGGTCAATTCATTCTAAGGTTTCTTAGGGATAAAAATGTCTTTTTTCATCCAATCCTGATTCCTAATAGATAATCCAAACACACTCTTATGGTTTAGTGTATCTGTTATTGCCTGATATCACCCAACTTGATTATTTATTTACAAGATTTATTGTGTAGTTGCATTGAATCTAGCTACTTTTCTTCTCTTAGTACATTCTGGTGGTATTTCAGGAAGTACAATGATTGAGTGATAGTTGAATTACAGTTCCATCATTGTACTCGATGACTATGTCTTGTAGGTTAGACGTCTGCTGTGCTCTGCTAGGCCTGTGGCAATTCAAACCCCTGTTAACCCTACTGCCTCTGATCAAGACCTCCAACAGGTATACAATACTTGTTTTTAGCTTAGTTGAATGCTAACTATTAATTTTCTTTTTAATAATGTCGGGGCTCTCTTTCTTGTTATTTAGTTTCTTGAAATGGAAAAATAAGTATTTTCTAGCACATTTTATGTTGGCACTTTTTACAATCATGAAATGGTTTTCGTTTGTCTTTTGACTCTTTTCACTGAAAATATGGCCCTTGATCGAGCACATGGGATCCAAATAATTGGGATAAGGACTATGTTGAGGTGAGTTGAGTTGTTTTGTTTTTTTGAAGTGTCAGTTGAGACTTGCCAATGAGATGAAAGGTCTTTGAGTTTCTAAGACATTTTTATACTTGTGTATCAAAATCCAGTTATCACTCTTTTATGCCATGTGGGCAAAGCGCTGCAGGAGTGCTAAAGTGAAATAATTTCAAAAATGTATGGTGATTTCATCATCTTACATTTCTTTTCCAATATTCTTGGGTATTCCTTTGTTATTTGGTTAGTGCTGAATATATTACGTGTCGTGCTCTTGGAAAAATCAGACTTTTTCTAGAAAAGAACTAATGGACAATTAAAATTTTGCGGTAAACAGCTATATGGAATCTTGAAGGTAAAGGGTTGTCTAAAAAGTTCTTGATCAACTCAGATGGTTTGAATGTGTTTTTAATGCATAGTGTACGTTCTAATCTTGAGTTATTTCTGTCTAATAGCCAATTGCAAGTTTAATCCAATGTCTGTACATCCATCATGTATGTAATAACTATCCCTTATCTGCAAGAAAGTCATATATGTTCTCATAGCAACAACTTCATATTATGATGTGAACAGATTAAAGACTCTTGTTTCCACACCCCTGTATTTTAGAAAAACTTATAATGTGGAATTACTTGGATCATAAAATTATTTTCACTGGTTTGACTTATAATTTTGGTTAGGGATTTATAGTGATCTAGATTGTGAACCCACCACGTTTCGGTACGAATGATCCAGATTCATTGTCCCAATGTCTATGGTTTGGTGCCTGAAGAAATGCATCGACTCCAATAGCATAGCCGCTTGATTTGTGTTTTGTAGCACTACTAAATACTAAAACAGTTGTTTTATATACCAATTTCTTTGTTCTTATTTTGGAGCTTCTTTCTATGTCATTTGTATAGGCTCAGTTATGGCAGCTTGCTCAAAGGACTACTGCTCTTCCTCTTGGTCGTGGCGCATTTACTCTCGCAACCACATGTACTCTTTTAACAGAGGTGCTTTTCTTTTTTATAGACCAACCTCTTATATCATTGAGGTTAAGATTTATCTTTTTTCTTGAGTATTAAAGCTCAAAGGCTCCTGAACTGGTTTTCCTTATTATTTTTTTATGATGGCATAATTGCACGTTGTGCGATTTATTGCGTAAAGATGTATTAACGGTTCTGATAGGGACCTTCAAAATATTTTGTAGGCACTCACAGTCCCAAAGCTTGTTTTAGCAGGTCGGTTGCCTGCACAACAAAATGCGACGGTATGCATAGTACTTGAACAAAGAAATCTTCATGCTCTGTGTGTGTGCTTGTGTGATCATTGTTTTGTTTTGCTCAGCTTGTTCTTTGGAATGTGTTTGGTTCCGGGTAAAATGTTTCCTTTTTTCTTTCAATAATTGGAAATGACAGATTTTATATTATAGGAATTAAGTTTCTGGTCCAAATGGACACTTTCCTTTTGGTAGTCCTTGAATGATTTTTCCTGTTTATTCTTTTTCTTGGTTAGATAATCCTTCTTAGTCTTGTTTGGACAGTGATTGTGGTTATATCTTAAAAACATTTCATTTGTTCTCTTCATCAGTAGTTTCCAAATTTGTAGATTTTATNTGGACAGTGATTGTGGTTATAACTTAAAAACATTTCATTTGTTCTCTTCATCAGTAGTTTCCAAATTTGTAGATTTTATACTTTTTTTAATCTTGCACGTCTTAATTTCTTGACAGGTTAATCTAGATCCAAATATAAGAAATGTAATAGATCTTATATCTTGGCCTGAGTTTCACAATGCTGTAGCTTCCGGATTGAGACTTGCCCCTCTCCAGGTTTGTTTCTGATTGCCTACATCATAGATTATTTGTTATCAGCTGATGCAAACAATATTCCTGCTTTTCAATTTTATTGAATTAGTAAAAATTTTATTTTCTGGTCACTGCTGGTTTTCTGTACCATATGTAACTTCTACCTTTTTATTTATTTGAAGATGATTTTGGGTCATCATAATTATTTTCAGCTTTCCATTGCTTTGGTTTTAACTAATCTGAGATTTTTGTCTTTGTTTTATCTCTCATCTTACTGCTACTATTGGAGTGTGTTTTCATAGGAGGTACTATACCATGGATCATATATGATGCATTTTGAATTTTCTCTTGTGCAGGGGAAAATGTCAAGAACATGGATAATATATAACAAACCCGAAGATCCAAATGTTATGCATGCAGGACTGCTCTTTGCACTGGGATTACATGGNGTCTTACTGCTACTATTGGAGTGTGTTTTCATAGGAGGTACTATACCATGGATCATATATGATGCACTTTGAATTTTCTCTTGTGCAGGGGAAAATGTCAAGAACATGGATAATATATAACAAACCCGAAGATCCAAATGTTATGCATGCAGGACTGCTCTTTGCACTGGGATTACATGGACATCTACGTGTTCTAACTATTACTGATATATACCAATATTATTCACAGGTAAGTATTTTATCTTTCTTGACCTGTTTTGTACTTTTCAATATGCTGTTACTTATCTTCACATTCTTCTTCTGTTATTTTACTTCACGAACTTCTGAACTTAATTGCTTCTTTTGAGTTTTGAAGATACCTATATGTACTCTTTTGAGTGTAATTGTTTTGGATATTCAGTATTGACATTGCAATAACTAGGTATGCTAGCAACAGTTCAAAGTGTTTCTAGGATGATATAACTAACTGATTCAGTCTTCTTTGCCAATGCTGCTAAGTAAGATTATACTTATATTTCCTTAATTGTTCTATTGTTTCTAATAATTTCTCCTTAAAGTAAAGAAATATATATAAAATCAAAGACATAAACAAACAAAACAAGCTAATATGATATGACATGGATGGAATTAGTGTCTGATAAGGCATGAGAAAGTCAAAGTTACAGCTACATTCTTGTTGTTGGCTGCCTTCCTGCAACGAATCACCACAACTTTATCTTCATCATTGCTCCTTCATATCAATTCCATCCCCATGATGTGTAGCTGATTCTAGGTAAAGTAGGAGCGGCATGCTACCACAAAATTTGCTTCTGAGGAGTCCCTCAGATTAGCGATGAGAAAAAGCAAATAATTTATCTTACACCCTGTTTATTTGATGTTCATAACATTGTGTCTTTATTGTGTTTTTTGATTATTAGCCTTCGAGTTTGCTTCCACCCTCTTCTTATGGTTCTTTCAAACCTTTCTTATAGAGATATATTTTGATTCTTGACATTTTTCGATAATTTTCTGTGTTTCATTTTATATGTTGCAGTCATGATTTTTTTCCTTAATAGGAACATGAAAGCACCACTGTAGGATTAATGCTTGGTCTTGCAGCATCTTATAGGGGAACTATGCAACCCGCAATTTCAAAGGTAAAAAGGGATGTGCCTATTTGACCTTCTTGTGTTATTATTTTTTTTTTTTTCCAGTTTTCCTCGTTTACTTCTGGTAGTTCTGAGCAACTAATCTAAAATGATATCTAATTAGGGAAATTATTCAATGCTAATCTTTGCATTTTTTCCAAACTTTATTGCGCCCCCTTGCCCTCTGGTTGGCCCAAAACAACCCCCCACCCAACCCACCACAGAAAAAGAAATTTTTTTTTTCTGGAGCTTTAAACTTTTGTGTTAATAGGTGATTTCATGTGCTTTGTGTTACTATTTCTAATAAAGCTTTGTTGTGGTGAGTTATTTTCATATGCATGCTTGAGACAACTCTCCTTCTAAATAAGCCATGTTTGAAGGTTATTTAATGACTTTAGATTGGTAACAATAATAACATGTGTTGAATGTATTGAATGTTTTCCTTTGTTGAGAAGAAATTGATTTGAGATAATTTAAGGCAAATTTAGTTTCTGGAGTTGATTTTGTGGTTAAGAACTACAGTTGGAATCCATTACTCCTCATTTGCCATGTGTTGCTAATGCTTTGTTTATCATGCTATGNATTTAAGGCAAATTTAGTTTCTGGAGTTGATTTTGTGGTTAAGAACTACAGTTACGGAATCCATTACTCCTCATTTGCCATGTGTTGCTAATGCTTTGTTTATCATGCTATGCTATGCCATGTCATGTTGTATTGCATGATCTTGTAGATGGTTTATGTTGAACTATTTATGTCGTTCATTGGCAGTCTCTTTATGTACACATACCTGCTCGCTATCCGTCTTCCTTTCCAGAGTTGGAACTTCCAAGCCTTCTGCAGGTATTTATTACACTGCTGATGCCGATTGCATGTGCTCTACAAATTTTCCTGACATCTTGTGCCTCAGGAGAATCATACATTTGCCTGTGACTTTATCACACTTATATCTGTATGCACTCGTGCATAATCCAGCTCTTCATCTAATCTTGACATCACAAAAATATTTATTTTGATTTACAACATGCTTTCTCTTGTCTGGATTCACATAGTTAATCATTGTCCCGTAGTCGTGTATGGAGTTCTAGATCTTAGTTTGCTACTATTTGAATTTGTGCCTCTGGCATGATGAGGTTGAATAAGGCTGCAGTCTAGAATTTACGTCAGTGGTTATTTGGTTGACTAACCCTTGAGACAAAAAATTCACTGGGATTATTTTTAATTTCCTGTTCGGTTCATATTGTTGTTCCAATTTTGCAGTCAGCAGCACTTATGTCTGTTGGGCTTCTTTACGAGGGATCAGCACACCCCCAAACAATGCAAATTCTTATGGTACAGTGCTTATTTTGCTTTATGTCAAAAGTTAATATTTTACCCCATGTTCATGATTGTTATACTCTGGTTGGTGCATATCTTAGCATGAATCAAGATGAAAGAAATGGCAACAAGCCCAAACATTGGCTTGAGGTTATTGAGGTTTTATTGCGATGTTTGGACTTTGGAGGGGTCTTCTTATGCTGACTTTTTTCCTTTTTGGGCGTTTACTTTCTTCTGAAGATGATCTATTTTTTCTTTGTCAGATCTGAGTTTGTAGCTTTTGCTAGTACTGATAAACTCATGTCATTCATTCTTCATCTATTTATTTGTATACATGTGTGTGTGTTCCCTTCGTGCTGCTCAACACATCTCCACTCTTCAATATTCATAAGTAAATTCAAATGATGCTAGAAGGATCAATTACTTGATCAACTATTCATATCATGTGGTTCAAGAAGTAAGGGACTGATTTTTTTCTTGCAAGAATATTGATGCTGCAATAAAATTGAGCCCTTGGTTTGCATGTCAACTCTATGCTCTAATTTCTGGTTGGATAGAACATAAAATAGAAGTCTTGGTTAAAGATATTACAAAAGCAGAGTCTTCTTGATTATATTATTGTTAGTTTCTTTTGGCATCATATTGCTTGTTTATTGTATTGCTATTTATGTGAAAATGCCCCCCACCCCACCACCCACAAAAAAAAGAGGCTAGAATTAGCAGTTTGATTCATTTTTATGGGATGCAATCTTGGTGACATATGGTTTTGGTTGTTTTACAGGGTGAAATCGGCCGTAGAAGTGGAGGAGACAATGTACTTGAAAGAGAGGGCTATGCGGTTTCTGCTGGATTCTCATTGGGACTTGTTGCCTTGGGTATGGTTTCAGATAAAGTAAAGTTTATGAATATATTGCTTGTAGCTAACCGTGCTCTATATGATTGAAGGTCGTGGGGAAGATGCCCTTGGTTTCTTGGATACTTTGGTTGATCGACTGTTCCAATACATTGGTGGCAAAGAACTTAAAAATGTATGTGCTCTTGCTATATTTATTTCCTTTCTTGATCTAAGTAATGCTCTATAATCAAAGTTGTTAGATATTCAACCCAAACCAAGTGGCAATAAATCATGAATACGAAGAGTGGGCTGGAGGTGATACTTTCCATGTGGGATATAAGCTCTGTTGGAAACCTTCATCAAATGGAGCCCGAGCTAACAAGTTGATTGAATAATCATACTGAACCAAACAAACAAACAAATTAGCAAATGGAAATGGGTGAGAGACTTGATTAAGTAACAATATATGGCTCGATTCTTATATGATGGCATAGTATCCAACCCAAAATTAGTGGTAATGTATGGGGAGGTCTCGCAGCCATACAAATCAACCTTGGATAATCCTAATCTTTCAATGTGGGATAAAAGATCTGTTCACAAAAATTAACTTTTCAAACTTCTCTCAATGATTTTGTTAGTCTGTTCTTCAGGAGAGATCCCAACTGCTGGCACCATCAGCGGATGAACACAATCGCAGTGCCGGGCAGGTCGTTCTTGTTGTTGAATTGCATTGGAAACTCATTTATTTAGCTTTGTAAAGGTGTTGGCAATTCTTTTTTCTCCTCTCTTTCTTTTTCTCTGACAACTGGTGCTACTGTTGTCATTTAGACGATGGATGGAAGTCCAGTCAATGTTGATGTTACTGCTCCTGGAGCTATAATTGCTGTGGCTCTGATGTATTTGAAGGTAACTCTGTGGGTACAGTGAGTATAATATATGTGACCTTTCCACAAGAAGTCACCAACTTGTACTTTGTTAACTTTAGAATGTTTCATTCTTTGTAACCTTTATGGAGTTTGCTAATGTAGCCCAGTGATTACTGCAGACTGAATCGGAGGTGATATTGTCCAGACTTTCTACTCCGTGTACGCATTTTGATTTACAAAATGTGAGGCCTGACTTCATAATGCTTCGTGTCATTGCTCGGAATTTGATAATGTGGAGTAGGTAGTGTTATTCACCTTAAGACAGCCCAATTAGTGAATACATTTCTGAGTTCCCAACACAATATACTTGTATTGTTTAGGGTTCATCCTTCCGAAGATTGGATTCAGTTTCAGATTCCTGAAATTATCCAAAACTGTGTCACAAGCCTTGGAGATGAGATGGGTGATATGAATGAAATGGATACTGAAGCTTTCGTTCTGGCATATGTCAATATAGTGGCTGGAGCTTGTATTTCTCTTGGTAAGTGATCAATTCGACTATCCTTTAACACTGAAATAAGAAAAACGTGCATCTTCTCATTAGTACCTGATTANTATAATGCTTCGTGTCATTGCTCGGAATTTGATTATGTGGAGTAGGTAGTGTTATTCACCTTAAGACAGCCCAATTAGTGAATACATTTCTGAGTTCCCAACTCAATATACTTGTATTGTTTAGGGTTCATCCTTCTGAAGATTGGATTCAGTTTCAGATTCCTGAAATTATCCAAAACTGTGTCACAAGCCTTGGAGATGAGATGGGTGATATGAATGAAATGGATACTGAAGCTTTCGTTCTGGCATATGTCAATATAGTGGCTGGAGCTTGTATTTCTCTTGGTAAGTGATCAATTCGACTATCCTTTAACACTGAAATAAGAAAAACGTGCATCTTCTCATTAGTACCTGATTAAGCAGAGTTATTATTCACAGTAAATAAAAATTGGGAAAAAATCCCTCAGTCAATCTGGAAAAACCAGATAAAAACAGATTTGATCAGGCATGCTGCATCCTGTGATAAACTGATACATGGACTGCAACTGCATAAGAGGTAAATTAGATTAATTCGTGTCAAAAATATGTTACTTGGGGAGGATCTTACCTAGGCAAATAAATTGCTCTCATGGAGCATGCCTAAAACACTGGAATTCGTTGCCAACATCTTTCAGGGCTCGTTTGGTTGCCATATAGTAAAAGAAAGGATTATATTAACTAATACGGGTTAATTCTATATAAGCAGATAACACATAAGATTAAATATAGGATGAACATAATACTTATTGTAATCCAGTGTTTGATAAGACATTTGATAAGAGAGATAATAGAGTACTAATTACATATTAACCAAAAAACCGTCAATCTAATCTAGTTATAAATGCTTTTATTTAGTTTGTGGACAAAATAGTAAAATATAACTTAATAAAGTTTTATTGTATTATAATACCACCTCTTCAAATGGTANCCTAGGCAAATAAATTGCTCTCATGGAGCATGCCTAAAACACTGGAATTCGTTGCCAACATCTTTCAGGGCTCGTTTGGTTGCCATAAAGTAAAAGAAAGGATTATATTAACTAATACGGGCTAATTCTATATAAGCAGATAACACATAAGATTAAATATAGGATGAACATAATACTTATTGTAATCCAGTGTTTGATAAGACATTTGATAAGAGAGATAATAGAGTACTAATTACATATTAACCAAAAAACCGTCAATCTAATCTAGTTATAAATGCTTTTATTTAGTTGGTGGACAAAATAGTAAAATATAACTTAATAAAGTTTTATTGTATTATAATACCACCTCTTCAAATGGTATTAAAATTGGCTCCATAGTATGGGTAAAATGTATTAAATTACATATACGAAATAAGACTAGATATAATACGGAGTATTTTCGGCAATCAAACGTAGTATAAGGTTGGATTAGAGAGTTTTAATTTGTTATGACTCCTTAATACACCTCTCTTAATACTGCAACCAAACGACCTCTCAGTGTATTAACAACATTACTTGCTTCCTTGTGCCTTGCTGGTTAGGGTTTGAGATGCCAGCCCTCAAGGTAAGCGTTTGAGGCTTGTATGAATAACTATCTCTAAAGTATGTATATGTTGTCTGTGTGTGAGAAAGAGTATTAACTAAGCATAGAGTTGTGTTCTATTGCTTATTGGCTTTGGAATTTCTTGCATCAATTACTTGAAGTTCGGGTTTTTTTTTGATTCTTAGTTGATGTTGTGGTTGGGTATTGTAAGTACACAGCTGATCCCATCTGTGGAGTTTGTTATATGGGTAACATGAATGAGAGTCAAGGGCATGTAGCCAGTCCTATCTCATTTTCTTGTGCCTATGTATTTCCTCATATTTATGTGGACTGTCATAGTCAAACTGAGTAATATTCTCTCCTCTTCAGTATGCATGTTTTTATAACTTCTAAAATTTCTATCAAGCATATGTCTATTTATTTTATTCCAGATGGTTGATACCATTACCTTGGCAGGGTTAAGATTTGCTGGAACAAAAGATGGAAATGCACAGGAGTTGCTTTACAAATATGCTGCCTACTTTCTCAATGAGGTTTGGTCTTGATAGCAATGCTCTCTCTAGAGGAAGGGATTCGACTGCATTTCACTCTTCATATGTATTAATTAACTGAGTCCTAGCTTTTTTGTCTGTATGGCACACAGATAAAGCCTGTATCTGCTACAAGTGGATATACCTGGCCAAAGGGACTGTCCAACTATGTTGATCGTGGCACATTGGAGACATGCCTTCACCTCATTGTTCTTTCCCTTTGTGTGGTTAGTGGAGTTGGTTATAATTATTATATTTCTTTTTCATGCTCAATATTTAAAGATAGTAGCCAGTGTTTGACGTAAATTGTTCTGGGATGGCAGGTTATGGCTGGTTCTGGACATCTACAGACATTTAGGTTATTGAAATATCTTCGCAGTCGAAATTGTGCAGATGGGTACACTCACTATGGTAATCAGATGGTGGTAAGTTTCTTATGTCTTAGCATCAGATCTGTAGTCACTTTGGATGAATCACTAATGCTCCATGCAGTCATATGATATTATANAACTATGGTAATCAGATGGTGGTAAGTTTCTTATGTCTTAGCATCGGATCTGTAGTCACTTTGGATGAATCACTAATGCTCCATGCAGTCATATGATATTATACAAGATAGTTTTCTTCCTGTGAAATGTAACAATCAAATTTTCTAAGAGCATAGAGAAGTATGAGAGAACACAAGATTAACTTCATGCAACAGTCTCCTACTCTAAGCATATAGATCTTTTGATACTAAAACAGATACGGGCACCATTTTTCTTTCTTCATTGGTAGTATTCTGCTTCCAAGTGGACTAGGGGTGTTTTGGGACAGCTTCCAGATAGCAGAAGGCCTTCATTATCGTAGGAAGGATTTGACCTTGGTTAAAGACATCTTAAAAAGCTGCCCCAACTTGCTTCTTCTAAACAGACTTTGGCAGCTAACCTTTTCTTGCAGAAGGCCTTTCCTGGCTGTCATGTTATTAAACATTTAATGGTCCTTGAGAATGACTTTTATGGACAAAGAGGCATTTTCCAAGAATCCTTGTTAAATGTTACGTAAGAGACTAGGAGTTCATAGTCCTAGCTAAGTAGATACTTGCTATAAATAGAAAATCCAAACTTATTTATATCTTGGGACCTCGGATGTTGCAAACTACCACATAGCATGATGATCCTCCTACATCATATACTTTCTTCTGTAGGATGTGATATCAAGCCTCACCAATGGTCTTGCTTGTAAACCTTGCTTGACTCTCCTGAATCATGCTGTAAGTTGTCTGTACTTACAGCGATGAAGATTTCTATATTAACTAGTCTACACTATGTGAAAATGGAAGAACTGGGATAGGTGGGAAAATTGGACATGTGGGTTTAGTTGTTCTTGTTCTTACTGCATTCTTCATCATGGAGAATTATGCTGCCAGCTTTCCCAGTTGGCCAGTTGCTTGACTTGAACAGTTTTTGAACCAACATTGACTAAGCAAGTTCTAGCCACATACAAACTATCTGTAAATTTTTTATGCATGAACAACTATTCTGACCAACCTTGAACTTGGGTAATGGATTCAACTACAGTCTTCTGATCAATTGTGAGCTGTGAGTAGATTAATTGGGCAAAGCTGGTCACTTGAGATGCAATACACTCTGCATACATATGCACTTCTTGTTTGACATTTCTGATGGAATCTATCTAAATTTTGTCTGGTTGGTATTTGATTATATGGAATCTTCGTATTTGTTCCAGGTAAGCTTAGCTATTGGTTTTTTGTTTCTTGGGGCTGGAATGCGGAGTTTTTCGACTAGTAACAGTTCTATTGCCGCTTTGCTGATTACTCTTTATCCACGCTTACCAACTGGACCAAATGATAATAGGTGCCACCTTCAGGTAATTGAAATGCAGAATACTGAATCTTTTTTATAAGTCCTTTTCTTTTATGTAAGGCACAAGAAAACTAATAGGTTGGACTTAACCGGTTTTAAACTCATGTTGCGACCCCATTGCAACTAATAGGACCAATTTTGTTTCAGCCTGCTCCTCATATGTTAGATCAATACTTCTTTTTGAAAAGAAAAGCAATCATTTGGATCTTATAAAATGTGATCAATTATTCAACAAATCTTTTAGTTGTCGTTCCTTATCCCATTTTTGGTTTCAAATCAGATCTAGCTTACAACTTTTTTGTGCGTCACCTGTAAATGCTAAAACTCCTTCAACTTGGTCTTGTTAATTTAGTAATCAGAGGACATTTCTCTCCTTTCCATTTCCATTGTCTTGTGATCAATTATTTCTCCAGCATTTTATTATCTGAAGGGAGTATAATCTCCAGGCATTCAGGCATTTGTATGTTCTTGCAACGGAAGCTCGCTGGATTCAAACGGTTGATGTGGATACTGGTCTACCAGTTTATGCCCCAGTTGAAATTACAATTAGGGAAACTGAACATTATGCAGAGACAAATTTTTGTGAAGTCACTCCTTGCATTCTCCCTGAACGAGCTATTGTAAGTTTAATGCTGCTCTTGTCCTCAAGTAAATGGTCCTTGATACACTCAGTGGACTGTCGGTGATTTGTCATTTCCTTCATTCTCCTTCCCGGAAGTGGTCTGTGTTTATATAAGCGTATATACAACAACATGGTCATAATTTTCATGTGATATCAAGTACATATGAAGGGACTATCAAATGCTGTATGGGAAATAATATATTTCAAAGTTGGTTGTTTCTATATTGTTTGATATCAACCTCCTTAAATAGTATAGTTAGTTCAACACCATTTTCTTAGTTTTAAGCGACTTCCTCGGATTCTCTGAAACATGCTGCAGTTGAAGACTGTTCGTGTTTGTGGACCTCGGTACTGGCCTCAAGTATTGGAACTCACTCCTGAAGGTAGAAGAGATACCAATGTTCTACTCTTATTATTATTCATTTCTGGAATGTTCCTGCCAGTGTTACATGTTATTCTTATGCAGAGAAACCTTGGTGGAGTTCTGGTGACAAGAGTGACCCATTTAATTCAGGTGTCCTCTATATCAAACGGAAAGTTGGAGCTTGTTCATATGTCGATGATCCCATAGGATGTCAGTCACTGCTATCACGAGCAATGCATAAGGTTAGTGCTCCTTTCTTGTTACATGAAGTGATCCTTCAATATTGTCCTTGTGCTTGTGTCATATTAAAAGTTCATGATGCAGGTGTTCAGTTTAAAAAGTTTCAGAGCTTGTTCTCCAAATGATTGCATTGGTGCCACTGTTGAGCAGTTGGTCAGTACCTTTTCGTCTGATCCGAGTTTAAATGCTTTCGCCCAACTGTGTTGTGACCCTTCTTGGAACAGCAGGCAAGTATCAGATTATGTTTCTTCCTTTTGGTCTTCATTTATCCTGTTGTATAAGCATCTACTTGGCCAATGATTTGGTACTCTTTCTGAAATTATTTTATTGGATCAAATAGCTTTCGAACACCTTCCAATATGATTGCACTTGGGTAAAGAATGGCAATCTAGTTGGTAGTTTAAAACTAATTTTACTGGCTGTTTGGTAGGATTGAAAAATAGGTGGATGGAAAAGGGAGGATGAAAAATTAGAAGGAAAGAAAGTGTTTCCACTGGTTGAAGGCTATTTGATCAAATAAAATGTCAACAGAACTTTCAGAAAGATTGCCAAATCATTGGCCCAGTGATACCACTTTTTGTTTGCAAAGGAAAATTAGGTGGAAAGGAAAATTGGATGGAAATGGTCTCCATCCTGCCCACCATTTTTGGGCGGAAAACTGTACAGAAACTGACAGTTTGAGATGGTGTGGAGCTAATTTACTTTATACCCTTCTCATGTTATAATAGATATTCGTTGGGACTTTTTCTTGAAACATGAATATGATGCCATATGTGTTATTCACAACCTTCAATTACATATCCTGCATCTCCTGCAACATGGATTTTTTTTTATATTTCCAATCGAATTGAAAGTGTATTTATTGGTCAAATTACCTACTGAAAAATACTTTTAATTTTTCACCCATCAAAATATGACAGGTCGTGTTGTGTCGGGTTTCATATCGTGTGAGAATTTAGTCAAAGCATGCCCAACCTATTTATAAACGTTTAAATTCATATTTCTGTTATGTCGAATTTGTATTGTATTGTTTAGCTGGGTTTAGTCGGGTTCATGTCTTATTTAGCCGAATTTGTGTCAACCTATTTACAGGTTCATCTATTTATCACTTAAACTCACCAGGCCTAACCCAAAACTTTTTTAACTTTGTGTTGGATTTGTGGGTCATGTTGGACAGGGTTAAATGCAAGAACTATGGCTACAATTTATTTTCAGTATGATTTTTTTAGTACTATAGTTGTATTTGCTTATTTGTATCTTTATACTTGTGAAATAAATAATTCTAGTATTTTATGATTTGGACTAACGCAAAAATCAAAAATATTTTTATGTGTACCAGCCTAATAAATATTCATAAAAATGAGAAAATTGTTGCACATAGAAAAGCATAATGGGGGTATCTTGGTAAAATATGCAAGCATATTTTCTTTCCATTTTGCTACCAAACGAGACGATGGAAAATTCACTTCATTTTTTTGTCTCTCCTACCAAACAACAAAGAAGGAAAGTAAGTTTCTTTCCATTGAGGATGAAAAGTTCATTCTTTTCACTTTTCTTTCCTTCCATTTTTTCGTCTTTCTGCCAAACATACCATTAATCTTGGACATAGGCCTACCCAACTGTCTTGTTTTATGATGAGCCTTTCTTAGAGATTTGTTCATAGCCCCATTTTTTGATGCAATTGATTACCTAACACAATTGGTTCCTCTTAGATGAATTGTAAGAGCAATGCTATTGAAACCCAATTTGGGGCCATTAGATTAGCTGTGGGTCCCATCATTGAATAATATCCCCTACCAATCCAATGATTACAATGCATTGGATTCCCAGATTAGATCTTTTAATATAGGCACACCGCACACAAGTATCATTATCAGTTTTGTAAATTTGTAATACTTGGTGAATCCTCGTTTCTATTTAATTTAAGCCATTTCTGCCTATTAGATTCCAATTAGACTTTTGACAATGTTCTAATATAAATGTGGTGTGTCCTACTAGGAGCCTTAAGAATAAAGAGGCACATTACTGTGTAACATGTTGTGTGTCCAAGAATAGGACCAGCCTATGGCAATCATAAGAGTATGAGTGATTGGTAGCATCTTTTGCTTGATTATTATTTTCTATCTAAACAGGGCAACTCTTGTAATCATGCAATTTTGAGGAATTACTGAATGCTAAAAGATATTATGGTAGTTATTAGTCTTTTTCGACAATTTTTTTGATTATGTACTAAAGCTTTAAAAAAAGTGAATTAAGTGTCTTTCAACATATATTATACATGATGGTGTACCAATCTGAACAAACAGGCATTGGTGCCAATAAAAAATATGCAAGAAGTGGATGTATTTGTGACGCCCTAAAACCAGGATTCTTTTATCAACCCGTGAAAGTACCCGTCCGTGCATGCTGCATAACCCGACACAACGACACAACATTTTCATTACTAGGGTCACAACCGACGCAGGGTTTGGACAGAATCTCCCTTGTACCGGGCACTCCTAAACACATAACCTGTGTACTTTCAATCATTTGACCAATCCAAAGTCCAATATATATCAATTTATACTTATCTTTACTCCATCTATCTCCTTTGAGCCAAATGAGTCGACGCCGGAAGGTTTAACAAAAATATTTTAAGTTTTTGAAATTTGAAGAAAACCTACCGGTAGAAGAGCTCTGATTCCTACCGGTAGAAGGGTTCATTGGACTTCAATTTTCAAAAACTGAAGGAAACCTACTGGTAGGAAAATCAACATTTTTTTGGTAGGAGAACTCACTGGAAATGTTTTACCAACAAAATTTGACGTTCTACCGGTAGAAGAGCCTACTAGAAATGTTCTATCGGTACATAACCATCGTTGTACCGGTAGATCTCCTCAGTTTTCCCCAGATTCCATCTTTTTTCAATTCCAATTCATTCCAATCTTATACAACAACTCAAAATCATATAACATATAATTTTATATAATCATAGTTCATCAGAGTTTGTTCTACAATTCTTTTCACAATATTACATATCCAAAAACTAAATTACATATTAGTTTTACAAAAACATTATTTAAAGCCATTTCTTTGCTTTTCTTCATGAATGGGAGCCTATGTGAGAGCCGTCCATTGGCACTTGTACCGCACTTGAAATATCATCTTCATAAAAGATGAACCACGTTCGATAGAGTATTTTCTAAAGAGGTTACTCCTCAACCTAGATGCATATGAAATGTCCACATGCAATTCAACAAGTAATAAATAATATATGTAAGACTTGGAATTAATGTGAGTAAAAAAGGGATACAAACTAAGTGTAGAGCCCCCGTATATATAGTCAATGAGAGTTACCATAAGGACAAAAAGGTAAAAAAGGAAAATTTAATAAGACCCTAATAAACTAGGCTGCTGCTATATCTTCAACACTCCCCCTCAAACTAGGCGCAAAAATGTCAACTAAGTCAAGTTTGACAACGGAGTCTCGAAGAATAGACAAAGTGACTGGTTTGGTAAAAATATCCGCAACCTGATCACTGGTCCCCACAAACGATGGAGTGACAATACCACTGCTAACCTTCTCCCGAAGAAAGTGAACATCAATCTCTATATGCTTCTTCCTCTCATGTAGTACAGAGTCAGAAGTGAGCTGAATAGCAGATCGATTATCACAATATAATGTGGAAGGAGAGGTCACTGAAAAACCCAACTCGCCAAGAATCGATCGTAGCCAGATAATCTCACACGTGCCAAGTGCCAGTGCCCGATACTCTGCCTCTGCTGACGAGCGGGAGACAACTGCCTGCTTCTTGCTCTTCCAAGAGATAAGATGAGTCCCTCGAAAAGCACAGAAACCCGTAGTAGATCGACCATCACATGCTCCCCCATAATCTGAATCTGAATAACAGGCTAGAGAACCGGTCTGAGATCCTGATGCATAAAACAACCCAAGTCCAGGACAAGACTTGAGGTACCGAAGAATATGATAAACTGCATCAAGATGAGGCTGACATGGCCTATGCATGAACTGACTAACTCGGCTGACTGCGAATGAAATGTCCGGCCTAGTATTGGCTAAGTAGATAAGTCTACCTACCAATCTTTGATAAACTGTCGGATCTTTCAACTCCTCACCTTCAGCAGTAAGCTTCAGGTTTGGAATCATGGGTGATGATGCCGGTTTGCACCCCAACATCCCAGTGTCTGAAAGAAGATCCAAAACATACTTTCTCTGAGAAAGAACAATACCTCTGCTTCTACGGGCAACCTCAATCCCAAGAAAGTATCGCAGAAATCCAAGATCCTTCACATCGAAGGCCTTCCCAAGGTCTATCTTGACTTGCGCAGTCCCAGAAACATCATCACCAGTAATAATAATATCATCAACATATACCAGAAGGATGACACACTGTCCAGAAGTATTCCGTCGAATAAAGCAGGTATGATCAGAATGACACCTGGTGAACCCCAATCGTATGACTACATCACTGAAGCGAGAGAACCAGGCTCGTGGCGACTGTTTCAGTCCATAAAGAGACTTACGCAGTCGACATACCTTTTTAGCATACTCCCCCTCACCACGAAAGCCCGGTGGTACATTCATATAAATAATCTCGTCCAGATCACCATGAAGAAACGCATTCTTCACATCTAATTGATGAAGAGGCCAAGAGTACTCCGCAGCCAGAGAAATAATTAACCGAACAGTAGTCAATTTTTCCACGGTGGTAAATGTAGTACCAAAATCACGACCTGATACCTGAGTAAAGCCCTTCGCCATAAGTCTAACCTTGTGACGATCAATAGTACCATCCGCAAGAAACTTCAGGGTGTAAACCCAGCGACAGCCAACAGGCTTCACCCCTGAAGGTAAGGAGACAAGATCCCATGTATGATTACGCTGAAGAGCGTCCATCTCTGTCTGCATGGCAAGAACCCACTGGGGCTCCCGCATAGCTTCCGAAATAGAGCGAGGAACCAGCGTATCTGATAAGGCCATAGTATAAGCTCGAAATGTGGGAGACAGATTACCATAAGAAACATAAGCAGAGATCGGATATAAAATCTTGGC